GAGCCTGGTCAACAAATGTGCATGCGGCGAACTTCACTTTCACCTCTTCGGGGCATTCACATATCTCAAATACTGATTCCACCTTCTCAATCCATCTCTTTAGGGTTATCATTCCACCCGTGCCATTAAAAGTTCGTGGCTTGGCATTGGTGAAATCCTTGTAAGAGCATGTCTTGGTAGGTCCTTGATTTGTTCCGCTGTTCGAACTTCCAGCCCCTTGTCCATTGCCTCCACCATTGTTTCCTTGGTGGATCTGCGCCATGGCTGCAGTAACCGCAACAGATACAGCTGCTTGGAATGCAACTGAGTTGACTTCGGGTGGGGTTGGTCCAGGGTTTCCACGGGTTGGTCGTTGATGCATCTTTTTGTCATGGGACGGGAAGATGTTGAGTGCCTATGATTTTTGTGAGTTTGTGGTCCTATAAACTAGGTGTATTGCATGAACTTAAGTGGTTTCACAATTTAGCATAAATACCCAATTTACCAAAATACCCTCAGAAGCCAACTGGTCAACTCTTGGTCAAAGTCAAAGTCAACTGTCAAGGTCAACAGTCCATGTTCCTTGCATAACTTGCCAACCCGCCGAGTCACTCGTCTGACTCGCCGAGCCCAAGGCATTCTTCATCGGACTCGCCGAGTCGCTCATACAACTCGCCGAGTCTACGACAATCTTCATCATACTCGCCGAGCCGTTCCTGACACTCGCCGAGTCCCTTCAGTCCTTCATTCATACAGACGATTTTAAGCTGCTTCAAAGCTCCAAACAGTAGATCTAGGCTCCCAAGGCATGTTTATCACGTAAATTTGCAACCTTTACGTGCATGCAAGGCTCTAAAGGCTTAGAATGTCAATCTCAAGCTCACAATGGGGTTTATCTCAACATGGAGGGTTCATGCTTGCTAAAGCTGGAGACTTTATGGCTTTAGAGTCCAAGATGAGCTTAGCTTTGAAGTTGCAACTTTAGATCCTAGCCCATAACCGAAAATGAATATCACCCATGCTATAAAAGCCCTAATCTTTAACATGAAGAGATCTAGAAAGAACAAGGTCAAGGTAACAACTTGTTACCTTCAGACTGATGCCACTGTGTAACACCCAGAATCAGAAAGGCCAAGAAAGGAAAGGAAAACCCTAAGTCAAAGGGGTCAACTCGTCGAGTCCAAGGAAGAACTCGACGAGTCGAAGCGGGATCCAGGTGGAAGAGTAAGTGGCCGACTCGACGAGTCGGCGAGTGGACTCGGCGAGTCAGGTCTGGGTTGGGAAACCCTAATTTCCGGACTTGGTACCCTATTTAAACATCATTTTAGGCCTCCACCCCAGCCTCCATCACTCCCCTCACCTACTCTCGAAACCCTAAGCAGCCATTGAGTGTCCTTAAGCTTCTCTTGCCATTTTGAGTGATTTAAAGCTAGAAGGAAGAAGGAAAACCTTGGGGATTCAAGAAGAGGCAGTAGATCCAGAGTTTGGGAAGCATTTCAGATCAATTGAAGGTATGAAGCTCATACCTTGACTGATAGTCATCTAGATCCTCTTCTTAACCTATATTTTGTCACTTTTGGGCCATTTCCAAGGTCAATCCGAGTATTGAGCTTTTGTGGATGAAGAGGACTTTAGATCTGAGTATGTATGAGCCTTAGGAGCTCTGAGTGAGAAGCTTTATTCAGCCATAGCCTCATTTCTTGTTTTGGACCTTCATTTTAGCTTAAATTTGATGTTCAAGCTTCATAACTCTTTGCATGCACGTAAAGTTGGCAACTTTACGTGTAATGCCAGCCCTAGGAGTCCAGATCTACAAGTGGGAAGCATTGGAACGAACTGTAATCGTCTGAATGAAGGTGTCACAAGTGGACTCGGCGAGTCGGGTCGCAAACCCTAACCCCTTCTGGATGCAAGTTGAACCAGTGAGTTGAGGCGGTGACTCAGTGGGTTGGTCAGGACCAGGACTAGGACTCGGAGGTTGAGGACTCGGCGAGTCGTGGGGTGACTCGGCGAGTCGATTCGCGGATGTTAGGATTCCTGAGCTTATGAACTCGGAGAGTCAATAGGCTGGCTCGACGAGTGGGGTCGACCTGGAAGGTTGACTTTGACCAGGACTTTGACTTGGGCCGGAGTTGACTTAGTTTGACTTCTGGAGGTCAGTTTGGGGGCTAAGTGTTATGTTTTTATTGGTAGCTCGGGGAGCTTGAGGGGCAGCGGTTCGGGAGTTGTTAGTCAGCAGTCAGAAGCGTGTCGGCAAGTTCAGCGGTGCAGGTGAGTTTCCCTTTGTGTGGATGGGTCTACGGCCACAATGCCGACCCATGTAGATATGAGTAGGAAGACCCGGGGGTTAGCCCTAGGCACAGTATGCTAGTACGATATTCAGGACCAAGGTCCAATATAGGGCGGGTGCCCCAGGAAGGGTTTGCATGATAGAGTATACTTGTTGTCTGTGTGATACATGTATGTGCCTGGTAGGGAGGTGAGTGTGGGCGAGGTCCCGTATCTCACCAATAGCAGAGTGTGGATGGTGTTCCATATCTCATTAGTAGCAGAGCAGGGGGCGAGGCCCAAGTAGGAAAGGAGTGAGTGTGGGCTGGGCCCGTATCTCACTATCAGTAGGAGTGTGGACGGGGTTCCATGACTCATCAGTAGCAGGACAGGGGCGATGCCCAAGATAGGCGAAGCCTTAGAACAGGATTCAGTAGTATATGTTTAGTTATGTATTGTGATATGATTACGTGTTAGTATATGTTAGCGGGCGGGGCCCAGAGACAGGCGGGGCCTAAAAGAAACAGATATGTACGCCGAGCGGGGCTCGAGGCCAGGCGGGGCCTGGTGACGGACGGGGTCCGATAGCTGGCGAGGCCCAAGGCAGCGGGTGGGGGCCCAGTATATGGTTATGTGTTCCGGATTATGTTCAGATCAGTAGATTTGTATGGGATGTGGTAGGTTGGGGAACTCACTAAGCTTCGTGCTTACGGTTTTCAGTTTTGGTTTCAGGTACTTCCGGTAGCGGAGGGAAGAGCTCGGGGTGATCGCATGGCACACACCATTGATTAGTCAGCCTGTGATGTTTTACTCTGATAATGAAAATATGTTTTGGAATTTATACTCTGATTTATGTTATGATTTCATTTATGGTTTGACAATTATGTTTTAAAAGGAAATTTTCAGTCATGATTTTTGGGTCGTTACACACTGAGCAGAGAGATCGAATCCACCAGCTCCTCTATGCTCAAATCTTCTTAAACTCCAAGTATTCTTCTTGCAAATGCTTCAAAACATACTTTCCCTCCTTCACACACTCAAAATGGGGGTTTGGATCAGTTAGGGCTGCTTCTGGACGTCAAGGGGTGATAAGGGGGCTGAGGTAAGGACTTAAGGTCCTTTAAATAGGGTGCAAACCCTAAGATTATAATTTTCTCTTCCCAGCACCAACTCGTCGAGTCCAGCCGCCGACTCGGCGAGTTGGTCACTTAACACGTGGCCAAAACCCGCTCTGACTCGACGAGTAGGCAAACCTACTCGCCGAGTAGGCTCCTAAATTAAACATAAGCCCCTAAATCATACTTTTGAAGTTTGGGATGTTACAACTTCGAAATTTAGACTACTTCATATTTCATAGAGGTAAGTAGAGTCACCCTCTCATTAAATGAATATAATATATCGCTCAACATTTAAATATACATCTTGGAAAGTTGACTTGGCTATGACATAAGAAACTAACGGGAGGCTGGGACGGTGTTCACCTCGTGGTCACATCGTTTTTAGGGTGCCACCTCACAAAAACGATTGTGGGCATTGCCCACACTGAGCCCTCTAAAATGGAAGTGAAGAGGAGTCGAACCCTCATCATATACGAAAACAAGCATGCCTAGGCAACTGTTTAAGCCATATAAGCCATATGAACTATGTGAATAATGTGATTATTTTGTATCAGATGATATATATATTTAGATATTAAATATATATAATTTGGTTAAAAACCGAGCCTTATTTTTCTCGGGGCCCTGTCCGGATGCAAAATTTACACAACCTTAGGGCCAGCCCTGTTATTTTTATTTGATAATGGTTTTCGATCATACATCATTGTCAGCCCATGTTTTATTTTTTTTTAGAAAATACAATTGTAGAAGGTGGAACCATGAAAATAAAAGTTATGCTAATTTAGTAGAATATAATGCATAATACTTTTATTAGAAATATCAAACTTTCACGAAAAATATTAACTTGTTTATAGGGAATTTAAATAACATGAGAAGAAAAGTATAATGAATTAGGAATGGACTAAAGATGGATCGGGGATATCCCCCTTATAAAAGGGAGGGAGGGGATTCAATTCCCTGTACATCGAGGAGACCAGAGAAAATATATGACAGGAGACTTGGGCCTCATCCCCTGCCTGTATTCTTGAGGTTTTAAGAGAAAATTGAATAGATTGTGTAATAATTATGTGGCAAGTGGCAACTATTAAAATTTGGTGTAGAGTCGTATGTATTAGGCTAAAATGAGTGGTAATACTCTTGGCATGTTGCCACATAAGATTTTTTTAGTTTTTTTTATGACATATAGGCTTAACATGTTTTGCATAAAAAAGGTAGAGAATGGAAGTATGACAATTTAATAGGTTTAATTTTGAAGAAAAAAAAATTAAAATATATAAAGAAATACAAATTAACCAATCACAACACACTTTCATACTTTCTCTCTCCTCTCTCTTCTTGCCACACATAGCACCCTTTCTTAGCACATTCCTTAGCATAAGGTAGGGAATAATATAATCTTTAGCATTTCCTTTGACACCTCCCTTAACACCTCCACTCTCTTTAGCCTTAGAGAATACTTGTATAGAACCATTCACGGGACTCGAGGACACACCATTGTTTGATACTTTGATCACTTGATGTGATATCCCACACGACAACCAAACTTCAAGCTTTTGTGATTCAAAAAACCACCCAATTACCAAAACCCCATAAAAAGACACTCATTCACACACACTAACTCTCTCTTCCCCAATCATGCTTATTATTCTCCTATTCCTCCTCCTGTTAACATGCCACCCCCGTCATGTCACCACCACCAACCACCTGCAACCAGTAGATACCATGGATCCATCGGAGCTACAAACCCTCTACAGTATAATGGAAACACTCTCTCTCGACCAAAAATGGAGACTCAACTATCCAAACCCATGTAAACCTTCCACTTCTTGGGTTGGAATTGAATGCAAACGAGGTGTTACAGACTCTCATCTTCATGTCACAAGACTTGATTTTGGTACCTCTCCAAACCCTACCTGCAAGAACACTGCTACCTTTCCTTCACAGATCTTTCAGCTTCCTTACCTTCAGTCTGTATTCTTCTTTCAGTGTTTCACCAAAACCAAAACAACAATTTCTGTCTCAAAGAACAGAACTGGAAGTCCTGGACCTTCTTCCCTGCAGCAGCTAAGTCTCAGATCAAATCCTAGTCTTGTTGGCTCTATACCTTCTCAACTCTTCTCCCATTTATCTTCACTTCAGATTCTTACCATATCACAAACCAGAATCTCCGGCAGGATCCCGCCGGAGATCTCGCAGTTGAGTTCGCTTGTTCATCTTGACTTGAGTTATAACCAGCTCACTGGGGCTATACCTGTCGAACTGTGCAAGCTCAGGAACCTAGTGGGACTTGATCTGAGCTATAACTCGCTCACGGGTCCAGTCCCCAACGCAATTGGGCAACTGGGTATGCTTCAAAAACTAGACTTTAGCTCCAATTTACTCACTGGAAGTGTTCCGAACAGCGTTGAGAAGCTGACTTCTTTGGTGTTCATGGCACTGAGCAACAATGGATTTCATGGAAAACCGCCGGTTGGATTAGCGAATTTGAAGGGATTGGAGTATTTGATCATGGAAAACAACCCAATGTCTACCGAACTTCCGATGGAGTTCGGCCATCTCCCTAAGCTACAAGAGCTTAGACTTGCCGACTCCGGTTACTCCGGCGAAATTCCTGCCATCTTTTCACAGTTATCGAATCTAACCACATTGTCGTTACAAAACAACCGATTAACCGGAAATATCCCGCTAGGTTTAGGGAATCTATCACATATTTATCACCTGAATTTGAGCAAGAACTGGTTGAGTGGAGAGATTCCCTTTGATTCTGGTTTCTTGAAGAGACTGGGGAAGAATTTGGATTTAAGTGGGAATGGGCAGTTGTGTTTGAATCCGTTGCAAGCATATGATTCTATGAAGCTTGGAGTTGATGTGTGTAATAGAAGCAATGCACGTGTAGGTAATAGCAGTTCTAGGATTCAGCCATTGAAGAAATCTGGAGGTCGAGTGGTTGAATTTAGTAGGCCAGCTTTATTCTTTATGTTTCTTGGTTTGGGTTGTGTTGGAATTTGAACATTCATGTTTCCTTGTATTGATTAATCCATTTTATGCATCCTTTATCTTTGAATTTTGTTATGATTAAATTTTGAGTCCATCGTTAAAATTTGAGAAAATAACATAAAAATCATTAAGCTTATACCAAATTTCTAGTTAGACATTATATATTTTTTTATGACACTGTATTTTTCAATTTGTTACGATTTTAAATTGACATAGTTTACACCAATCTTGTCCAGCGGTATCCGGTGTTGTTCTTTTTTTTTAAGGTCGAGGGTTCAAGTCCCGTTGCGGACATAGGTGGAATAATTTAGGAGGAGGTTAATATATTTGTCGTTTCCAAAAAAAAACCCGATCAAACCGGTTGTCTGTTGATGTAGCATGATTACATGTCAGTTTTGATGACGTGACATGCTGACGTGTCTCAATTGAAAAAATGTTATAAAAAACATTAATTTTTCATTTTTATTTTTCAATTTTAACACTAAGTTTTCATTTTTTTTTCAATTTTGATACTCAATTTTTTTGTTCCAAATTGATAACTTGGCATTCCATTTTTTTTTGTTTCAAATGGGAAATCATTTTTTTTGTTCCATTTGAAACTATATATATATATATATATATATATATATATATATATATATTACATTTGAAACTGTATAAATATATTTTTTAATATATACAGTTTCAAATGAAAAATGGTTAATATTGAACAAAATTGGAAAAAACGATGTTTGATTTAGAACAAAAAATAAAATGTCAAAATTGAAAAAAAAAGAACTTAGTGTCAAAATTGAAAAAAGTGAAAACTTAGTTTCTTTTGCGAAAAAAATTCAATTTTGACACGTTAACATGCCAAATCATCAAAACTGACATGTCATCATGCTACGTCAGCATGCAACCAGTTTGACCGGTCAAATAGTCAGAATTATAACAAATTGGAAAATACAGTATCAAATTTGAGATAAAAAAACACAGTGTCAAATTTAAGACAAAAATAAACATAATGTCAAATTAGAATTTTAATGTAATCTAAGTAATTTTTTTACTATTTTCCCATTAAAATTTGCGCATAATTTTAAGTACCGACTGATTTCTTTTTTGTCGTTTGTAAGTTTAGTACAAGTTATAAATCTGTATCAATTTCGTCCCCGTGGTTTTCAATTTTCGCACATTTGATCGAGACTAGGGTTGCAAACGGGTCGGGGATTCCCCGCGACCCGCGGGGACCCGACCCGAACGGATCGGGGATTCCCCGCTTTAACGGGTAATGGATCAAGGATGGAGATTATATATCTTACCCGAAACGGGGGACGGGTATAATACTATCCGCTCCGTTTTAGACCCGATATATATATATATATATATATATATATATATATATATATATATATATATATATATATATATATATATATATCAAAATTAGTTTTTAATTTTCATTAATTGCTATTAATTGTTTTCAATTCACAACACGTAGACTATTGAACTGTCATGTGTCTCTTAGTAATCTGTGAGCATGTGACCTTTGAGAAATCCAATTGCATCCACTGCATTTCGATTTCAAACTCGACACTTCTCCTGCATTTATTAATGTCTAACACTTTTCCTGCATTTCGATACTCCAGTTCTACGCCTCTAGTAAAATTCTTTGACTCAAAACATAAGAAATCCGATTCCATACTCTACTTCTCAACTTCCCCTTCTTTTCCTTACCGAACTCATTTTTTTTCTTTTCTCCTACAAGTATGGCCGTGAACGATTCTCCTCTATCGGATCAGTATGTTTCTTTTCCGTACCGAACTCGTTTTTCTTTTCTTTAATAGGTTTCTTGTACTTGATTTTCTATATTCGTTTTTTCAATTTGGTTGAACCGATTTTGAGTAATCGTTTTTTGAAATATATTTTCTTTACTCGATTTCATGTACTTGGTCTTTGCATTATCAATTTCCTTTTCTTAACTCAACACGTTCTTTGCAATAATCGATCCATTTTTGTGGTTTAACGGAATCAGTAGAATTAATGGCTTGCTCCTTGATGTATAAAATAAGAAAATACTTGGACATTATTTTTATTTTGATTGAATCGATCCAGTTAGGAGAAATAGAAATATTGAAGGGATTGTTTTCTAAGAGCCACTGATAACTGATATATATTTAATGTTGTGCAAAAACATGGATTTTTTCGTTTGCTATTTGCAGTAATATTTTGAATATGTATTCCATTAACTTTTTAATCCATATCCTCTGGACTCTCGAGAGTTGTTTAATATAAGAAAATACTTGCACATTGGTATTTTACTATTCGTTCTTTTAAAACAGAATGTCATCTTCTTTATTATTGCAGGAAACAATTAAGTGGGAAAAACAAGAATGGAACTACACATTTGCATTATCAATACAACCATTGTGGATACAAGCATGCTAGATTTTGATACTTAGTTTATGAAGATTCGACGGCGATGAAGATAAAAAAAAAATATTTTGAACAACAACGCAAGAGCGGAATTTATAATTGTTGTTTTATTTTTTAGTTTCTTAACAAACATGAAAATGTCGTATTTTTTGTATTGTATCATTTATGAGAATGAAGTATGAACTTTTGAACATTTTCGTTGTCACGATCATTGTTTATGCTTCTTTATATTTTTAGAATTACAAAAGTAATTGTGTTTTTTATACTAAACGGGTATCCATCGGGTTCCCCGTATCCGACGGGAATATTTTTACCTGAACCCGTCGGACATTTGGCGGGGCGGGCGTGGGGATGGTATGGGCAATAGAAGTCAGGTACGGGGATGAGTTTTGCAGTCCCCGCTAATATCTGTCCCTGTTTGCATCTCTAAAAGAGGGCGTCCAAATTAAGATAGTAACTGAGTGCACGTGAGTTGCATACGATGGTATGGTCCGAAAAATAGTACCAAATAAACTAGGAATTATCAAAATAGTCCTTGACAGTTTCAAATTAAGCACTACAAGCTGACTAAACTGTCATATTTAGTCCCTTTTAATTTATTTTCACTTTTAAATCCAAATTGACTTTCTTCTTTTAAATATTCGATCAAAAATATTTTAAGAACTCAAATTTACTATTTTTTTTTATTATTTATTTAGTTATTTGTTAAACTTTTATTTTTGCTCTAAACATGGGATGTTACAAATGAGGAGGGTGATTAGAAGGGTGAATGGAACTAAATGAATATCATGCCATCCTTGTAGTATTTTGGGAGATATGAAAACATTTTCAAATTTTATGCAGTTTTTATTAAACGTTTATCCAGTGACGAATCCAAGATTTAAACTCACGTGTGTCCAAATTAAATGACGTGTCAAAATAAACGGTTTATAAGTTTTGGTGATCGGGTCGGGTTCTCAATAATTCAACTTAATACAACTATAATATAACAATGATGACATAAAATTTAATATATTCTAGTAAATGTGTTACAAGTAGATATTCTTAATTATTACTCATCTTTAGTATACGAAATTAACCAAATTATAAACAGCTAACACTATATACAAACTAAAAGCATATTCAATGGGAGTTTTTTTATGATGTATTTTTGTTGACTGATCACTTATTATCATTGGAGTAGACGGTTTATTTGCTTTTTTTGACCACTTATTGAGTGGTCAATATACTTGTATAACTTATACATATAAACCCTTTTAGTTTAACCATATTTCATTTATCAATTTATTTCTAATTTAATTTTAAAGATTTTTTTATTGTTGTACCATTAATTATGAATAATTAAATATTTATCAACATCTCATTTATAAAATAAAAATTTTATGACTATAATTTAATATTTTCAATATTTTATTTCGAATTTTATAAGTAGAACATAATATATTTTTTTTTTCATATTTTATGTATATAAATAATGAACCTAAATATTTGTATTTATACGTTCATATTAAAATATTATTTATGTTTAAAAATTGATTATCTAAATGAGGGTGTTTTATAAAACATTTTAGATAAATGATGATATATTAGTTAAATTTATAAAATATGAAGACACCCAACCAATCATCAACTCGACCACCCTATCAAAGAAGGAAATGGTGACCACCTTACTGGACAAGTACAAGAAAGGCGTCGTTTAGACGATTGTTGTCATCAAGGGTCTAAGTCCAGTATGGTTCCCATGCAAAAAGAACGTCAAGTACAAGATAAGTGTCCAATTGGAAGAAGTAGTAAGAAGTTTAATGAGTTGGAGAGCCCCAACATTCAAAGAATAACATATTCCAGGCCAAGTCGAGCCAACGAATTAAAACAAGGGCGGCTAACCGGGATGCAACCCGGGGGTATTCTCTTTCTTTTTAAACTTTTTAGTCATTGGTAATTTCAAGTTTTTAATGAACATTTTTTTACCTAGAAAATGAATCTCGGTTTCCAAAAATATCTTGCGGAAATCCTGGTGGAGGTTGAAGAGGTTCTCACTACAATTGCAAGGCTCCAATAACAATTTGGTAAATTCTTTCCATATCTTTAATCGTTCATATTTTGCTTAAAATTTCGTTCGGTGTGCACTTGTGACTGTTTTGGACTCTTTCCCAACCCAACTATCATCCCCACCACCACCCTTAGATGATTAGGTTGTTCCTCCCTTTCTCCAAGCATCGAGGATGATGCTTATTTTTAAGCTTGGGGAGGGGTATGAGGTATTGCATGTTGCATGTTTTTTTTTTAAAAAAAAAAAATCCAACTTTCTTATTTTCATTTTTTGTGCATTATGTTTTTTTAATTACAAAACCAAAAAGATTTTCTTTCTATTTTATTTTTAAAGTTTTTGCATCTCATTTTTGTGTTTCATCGAGAAAAAAAATTGCATTTAGCATCAAATTTTGAAAAACTCCAAAAATACTTCTCTTTTATGTTTTTGTTTTTGATCCAACCCAAGACAACCTAATCTTCTTGAATCAGTTGAGTTGGTAAGTAAGTCGTATGCCTTGAGACTAGACTTGTTTGTTTTTCATTAAAAAAATCTTAAAGCGACCTAATCA